TACTCAGGAACTGAAGTAACTATTTTTCTATTTATATTTATTGGAAAAAAATAACGGATTAATCGTGACCGTCGATTATAGTGAAAAAACCGTTACGACTTACGAGATTGATTCTTTCTGGGTCCCACTTTTGTTGAGCGCGAATTTTTTTTTTGTCGTACTAAAAGCCTCTTTATGAGAAAGAGATTTTTGACTAGAGCGGGAAAAAAAAATCCTCTTATTTGCTCGGTTCTTGAGTCATCTTTATTTTTATAGTTTATATTGTGGATGAAAATGTGATTGATTGGTTTTGTTGTTGACTAATCTGTGAGAGATTTAAGTACCTTGAATATTGTTTTGGAGTGATTTGGAGTATATACTAAGACTCTGCTTTCAAGTGATGTGTTGTTTTCTATGTCTAGAAACTTGACTCTACTTGGTGATTCTTCTAGTTATTTGTAAAGGCAGAATCACTTGCATTGGCAATAATCATTCCGGGTATCATCAGATTTTGAGCCCGAGGACGATGAGTTACATCGTTTCTTACTTTAACCAAACCAAGAAATGATTGTATGGCTCATTTCTTATTTCGTTTTGCTATAGGGCCGGGGTTAATGTTGTTCGGACAATGATTAAAAAGATCTTATAATCTTCAAATTTTGATATGAGTGTAGCTACTGGAAGTAGCAAGTGCTCTTTCCATAATTCCAATAGAAACATTTAAACCAACCAAGCTCCACCTCTTGATTCCATGACGGTCGTTTGAAGTTTGGTTTCTAGTATAGACACGCATACTTTGATATAAAACAAGTTTGTAGCATAATGTTATTAGTTATAATTAGAGAATATAAATAAAACAAGTTTGATTGATGTAGCTGGTCGATAAACAAAAGTAGTAGCAACAGGTGGTTGGTAGATCGCTAGGGGCTGCCAAAAGGAAGTCATATATGGGTGAATCTCAGCTGCAATATCAAAACACATATAGTGGTGTTTTACCAGTTCAAAAGAATGAAACATCACGACAAAAGTCGTCGATCCAATTAATTAATAAGAAGAAGTACATTACATCAATGGTAGTGGAAGATTTCTTGTGCTTCTTGGATTTAACATCATCCTGTGTTAAAAAAAAATGGCTCATGAAAATAAGCCCATGTCACATCAGAAAAAAATGGCTCATGAAGATAAGCCCATGTCACACACACACACTAAGAACACATGTAAGTAAGACACAAAACACGAACAAAGAAAGAAACAAAGCGACACTTTCAAAAATCATATATATATGAACTTGAATTGTTTTACCAAAAAAAAAAAAAAAATATATGAACTTGTGTGGATGATACATCAGATGTTACAGCCAAAATACAAAGACAATAAAGTTGCGCCAGAATACACTAGGCATGCAAGAACAAGGTTCACGAGAATCTAACAAGGTATAAATTCATTAACAGAGAAAAAGATTTAGAAAAGAGCAAAGACAGTTAACAAACATAAGAAGAAGATTACATCAGTGGCAGTGGAAGATTTCTTGTGCTTCTTTCCCATTGGCGGCAGTAGCTTGAGAAAAATTTAAAAAGCGACAAAATCTTTTTCGGGTCAAATTTAGGGTTTCTCTTCTCTTAAGAGAGAACGAGGAAAGGGAATAAAAACGAAGAAGGTAAAATATTCGGGAAGTAGCTATTTCCTATTATACTTATACACAAATCAACTTAACTAAACCAAGTCTAACTTAACCGGAATCTATATACAATTGAACCAATGGTTTATACAATTGATGTGGTTACAATTTCAAAGTTTGGACAGAAATTGAGCTAGAGGTTATGCCTTTTACGAGAGCAACTCACAAACTAGATTATGGCTTATTTTTCAGTCAGAGAGATGAGTTACATTGTTTCTTAAGCAAACCAAGAAATGATTGTGGCTCAATTCGTATTTCGTTTTGCTGTTTTTTTTTTGTTCGGACGACAATCAAAGATCCGCCAATGACTAAAAAGATATAATAATCTTCAAATTTTGACGCGTTTTGTGTCATGTAGACGGGCAAGTAATACAATTTTGTGCTCCTTCCACAATTAATTCCAATAGACCATTTAAACCGACCAAGCTCCACTTCTTGATTCCATGTCGGTCGTTTGAAGTTTGGTTTAATCTTTATGTGACAAATTCCATGATAATTCGACAATAGAAATAAAATAACAGCAACGGTAAAACCACCAAAATATTAGCTGAGGTTCGAAGCTAGGGGCTCGCAAAAGGAAGTACTGATGGGTGAATCTCACCGGCACTATCAAAAGACAAAACATCCATCAACTAATGACAAGTTACTTTGTTATCACGAAACAAGAACCAATAATAACCAGAAGCATATTCATGTATACCTTGTCTACATTGGCATATCATACATATTGTTCCACATTTCGGGAGGACTGAAGACTTTAGTCGCATAGTAACAACGTCGACACCCTCCAAAGTTGCGAAAGCCATAGAATTTGTCACTATCTTTAGCCATCTTCACCTTAATCTTCCTTCCGTACACGTAACTTTTATTTAGTTCTAACGCCTTCTCATTGCCTTGACCATTTTTCAGATCAATGAAAGCAAATCTGTTAAAAATAAAAAGTCAGTCTTCCGTTTACATTCAAAATGATAAAAGATTAGTTGTCACAAAACTGGAGGAACAAGTCACAAACCCTAAGGGAACACCGGTTTTACACTCCATGGGAACAAAAACTCTTGTGATCTCTCCAAGAGAGCCGAAAACTCTAATCAAATCATTCTTGATATCATCCCTAGGTCGCACATTATCAAATCCCTTAACTAAAAGGGTTTGATCATTGTGTCTAGTCGCCTCTTCGCATTCGAAACAGCAAGTAAATTCCTCTTCCTCCTTTGTCTTTGGAATTGCTTCCTCATTTTTCTTTGGAATTGCATTCTCCTGTAGACAAAACCAAGATTTCTTTAGAAATCAAAACTTACATCGTATATACAAATTAAGTGTAGCAAAACAAATACAACAACAGCTATATAAACAAACAAATAAACAGAGTTCTACTAAATACTTATACAATAGTATTAAACAAAAAAACCATATACCTTCAATGAAAACTCTAGAAGATCGGCTTTTGTCGGTAGAATCTCTTGTAGTTTCTTCACAACTTCAGACAGCACTTTGATAGATTTCTTCATTTCTTTGAACTCCTGCCATTGAAATAAAAGTAATGAATACGAAAAACCGGTAAAAACAAGTCAAACTCGTTAGCCACTTAAATGGCGCCATTAATGTCAAGAATAACAACACAAAAATTGTAGATATTTACATTTTTCGAGACAATGATTTCATCTTCATAATTTTCCTGCAAATCAACAAAAAACATGGTTATTATCAAAGAGTGAAACATCGCAACAAAAGTCGCAGATAGAGTTGATGCGATTTAATAGGATTAAAAAGTAGATTACGTCGGTTGCAGTGGAAGATTTCTTGTGTTTCTTGGCTTTAACATCATCCTGAATTCAAAAGTAACAAAGAAGAAGTGACTCAAGCAGGTGGTACAGGCAAAATACAAAGACAATAAAGGTTCACCATAATACACTAGACATGCAAGAACAAGGTTCACGAGAACCTAACGAAGGCAACTTCATTAACAGAGAAAATAAAAGCTCAAAACAGAGAAATTAAAGAACAAAGACAACAAAGAAAAACATCGGTTACATCGGTGGAAGTGGAAGATTTCTTGTGCTTCTTGCCCATTGTGGGCTTGTGGCGGCAATAGAGAAGAAAGCAAAGAGCGAAAAAGTCTTATTCGGGTCAGTCAGATTTTAGGGTTTTCTCTACTGCAAAAGAGAACAGGAAGTAACTATTTTTCTATTTATATTTTATTGGAAAAAGTAAGGGATTAATCCTGACCGTCGATGCTTCGAGATTGATAACTGATGGGTCCCACTTTTGTATTTATATTAATCCTGACCGTCGAGATTGATAACTATTTTTCTATTTATATTTTAATAGAAAAAGTAAGGGATTAATCCTGGCCGTCAATTCTTCGAGATTGATAATTGATGGGTCCCACTTTTTGTTGAGCGCGAAACTTTTTTATTTGTCGTATCAAAAGCCTCTTTTTCAGAAATTGGGTTAGACGGTCAGCTACTGGATGTGGCAAGCAATACAATTTGTGATCTTTTTGTGACAATTTACATCATCATTATCATTATGCATTTTCTACAGTTTCTTAGACAAAAGTGGAATCTTATGCAGACAAGACAAAGGTTAAGTGCTTATTAGTCTTTTGCGATTCATGTAGGGAAAAAAAGTCAAATGATCATTTCAAAGTTTGAAATTTTTACCCCAACAATTTCTTTTTGTTTGTTTGTTTGGTTTCATTTTTCCCTTTCACGTCTAAATCATGAAACACCGCGTGCTGTAACTATTTTAGAGCACTTGAATTCTTGAACCCTTTTGATTTCTGACGACCTATGATTATTATACATACATACTTAAATAGATCATAAAGTCCTTGTCTTATATACCAAAAACTGAATAAAATAACTAGTCTTTCAAATGTGTTAAGCTTAAAGTTATCTACTTTTGTGTAGATTCTTCTTAGTAGCCTGCAGGTCTCATGGCCTTTGATTAAAAGATTCAGTTAATGGGTATATTGTAATCTCAATTAGAGTTTGAAAATTTTGAATATTAAGCTCGACGACCATTGGATAATTGAAAAACTAATGTTAATGGTAGGGACCAATTGAAAAAAACCAAGTCAAATCTACCGATAAACT